GCTTTGTAAGGCATCTCTGATGAACCTATTTCTCGACAGTCCTAACAGGAAAAGGAGACCTTCACTTACAGTTAGAGAACAGAAAAGGATATTTTACACTTCTGACTGCATTGGAGCTTATTTCAAAACTAAGGAACATCATCATGCTAAACGGTATGAGGAGATTGTGTGGCACTGTTTAAATTAGGCTTTCTCTGCTAAAGAAGCACTCATGATATTTCTGATAAGATTTTAATATATCATTGTATATTATTGAGGCCAAATGCAAAGTTTCATTAACTGATGGGCTTCTGGACAAAGTTGAAAAGATGCCATTTTCTTACAACATTGTTTGCTTTGCTGTGCCTATTCGTCCCTGTTTTCTGCATCCTGGTTTTACTAAGCTCAGGTCTTCCAGAGGTAGCTCCAAATTCTCATAGGGGACTATCGACGTCAGAAAGAACAATGGAAGGCGAAAGTACCATAGGTGAGCTTGGCCTCATGATGATCAAAATGTTGCCTGAAAATCTACCTTTCACCGTCTTCGTTCCGTCGGATAAGGCATTCAATCATGTCCTGAAATTACAATCGAATAACAGTCTGATGACTGATAAAATGAATGATACCTTTGCTATTCTCTCTAGAATAATGGGTTTCTGTACAGTTCCTAAGCACATTTATTCAGAATCTGTGCCTGTCCTGAAGGAGTTAAATCTGGATTCAGTGTCTGGATTTAGAATTTATATTCTTAAGATGTCTGATGGAACACTGTTAGCTAACAATATTCGGTCGGAGCAGGTTGATCTTAAAAAGGGCGAGATCATCGTGCATGTGATGGAAGGGGTGATCATGGATGCAGAGTTCGAGCAGTCCTTCATTTCTGATCATGAGGAATAACATAGAAGTTTTGGAGCTTGCCTCCTCATTAATGGCAATATGTTGCTAACAAGCGAAAAACTTGCTTGTTGTGGATTCATGAAAATTCTTGTACAGCATCATATTTTCATAGAGCGTACTGCCTTTTTGCTAAATTGTCTTACAGTTTAGGAAAGCATACATGCACGCCTCACAATTGCTATGTTTACATATCTAACACCTGAAGTTAGATGTTTACTCTAATAGCACATTCATGTCATAAATCAATGCATGAAAAGTTGTTTTCAGTTTTAAAAAGTTAATTTTGGTGGTCTTTCTTATGTAATATTAAAGATTTAAAGGTTATATATGAAAATATGAAATTTTTGGTGTTAGATATATAAATTCATAAGAATTGTGTGGTATGTACGTTTTATGGTTCAAATAGCTATATATAATATCTTGTGCTTGTTCACATTTTATATTTTGGTTGATTTACGTACAAAACACCCGTTTTTTATATATTGACATATCTAACACCTAAAGTTCAATTTTTTGCAAATCTGGTTGATTTACGTACAAATCACCCGTTTTTTATATATTTACATATCTAACACCTAAAGTTCAATTTTTTGCAAATATGCCATTTTCTAAAGGGTGTATTTCAGTTTAAAGTAGTGATATTTTTGATGTGATGGAAATGATTTGAGCGGTATAAATGTAAAAAAATTAAGTTTAGGTGTTAGATATGTAAAATAAAAAATATATTGCATTTATGAAAAGAAGTTCTCGTGGCGTTGTCGAGCTTCGAGCAGGAATTTGGTGCGAAGGTAGATGGAGAGCCACGCGCGGAGGAAGAGATTGAAGGACAAGAAGCGGTCGGAAACCCTAGAAGTGGCATGAGACACTGCGGGAGAAGATCCTTTGCGCAATGATCTATCAATCCCGAGCGGCCGAAGGAGAAGAAAGGGAGGAAGTATGCGGCGACGCTCGATCTTGGACTTTTGAGCAGAAGAAGAAAGGGACGAGGGCGGCGTCGTAGGCTAAGCGAATCGTGCGTAATGGAGAACAGACGGATCATGTGAAGAAGATGAGAGCTAAGCCATTTGAACCGAGTCGAGGCGTAGGAAGGATCCTCGTACTCGAAGGAGAAAAGGAGGGAGTTCGCGTGCGGGAGCAGGGTTCTTGACCGAAAGTAAAGGTTAATTTATTATTTTATTAAACAGTGTATAATATATATTAGAAATGAATGATCGGAGGCTATTATACAAACCCCGATTATTTCTCATTCGCCTAAGAATTTGAGTACCACACTCTACACTGGGGGGATTCGAACCGCAGACCAAAGGGGACTTACAATTGACAAGCAGATGCTCGACCAACTGATCTGAATATGCGACACAAACACACACAAGTATGTAAGTTATAATTTAAAGAAAGATTAAATTTTAAAATTTAAATGTATTTTCTTATAAATTAAAAATATTTAATATTAATTTTGATTACAATAATTAAAATTTTGATTAAAGTATTGAAATCTTAATTAAAATAATGCGATACGATAACAAATTGTAATTAAGTTAAATCACAATTAAATGAAGTGATAATTGAATATTTTATATTTTATAGGTAATAATTTGATAAAAGTAATATAAGTTAGAGCAAACAGATCATCTATCATCGTGGTGAGTTCTCATGCTCTTATACAATTGTAATATTTTACTTCTTTTATATCAAATATATTTATTAATATAATCATTAGTTATATTGAAATTATTGCAAATTCATAATTTTGAATTCTAGTAAATTGGCTATTATGAATGATATGTGTGCATAACATTATATGAATTATCATTAATATTGAATGATTTATAAGTATATTGACTATTATGCGAATGAAAAATGAATATTATTATTAGAAAGTGATTTTTATTAGATGCTTGTATGTGCATGATTGACTATGATATATTTTCTTGATGATACTTGTGGTGAAACACTAAATGTAACCGCGCACGTAAATGAAAAATGATATTAATATTAAAGTATCTTAATTTGTACAATATTTTAGATAATGTTTCTGTGATGGTTGTGCAGATATAAAATGATATTGATATTCTATTAATATTGTAAGATTCATGGATAACATGTTAAATATTTATATTGATTTATTAAAAAGTTTAACTGACATGCATTTTATTTTCTTTTTTCATTGTATTATTTTAGTTGATGAATATGAGTATTCACTGGCTTGTTTAACTCACAATTATTTTAAACTAACTTTTTAGGTTAATTAAATTGATTAAAAGTTGAATGATAGAAAAGAAAATGTGTTTAGAGGATGTGGATAACCAATAACAAAGTAAATATAAATATACTGTTTTAATTTATATGATTTACTGGCGCTTTCATTTGTTAGTAGTAAGTTAGAGAAAATAAAAAATGAAAAATTTTAATTTTCGCCGTTGGACTTCATGTTCTTGTCTTGGTTAATTCTAAATCCCGGGTCGGGTCGTGATAATGTGAAAGAACATGACCAGGAGGATAATAATGGGAAGTGTCTAGGAAGCCATGGCGGAAAACAACAAACGCCCAGGCAACGATGGAGATCATGACCTGGAAACCCTCTGTGCAGTTCAAGCTAGCAGCACACAACAAATAGAGGAACTCTTTATGGAGTTCTTTCTATTCTCTGTGGAACATCCACGCCATTTCAAGATAAGTTGGGTAAAAAATGAATCCATATATTTGTCTCTGAAATTGTTTGGAGTGACATTCTCTATTTGAAAATATTTCATACATGGAGTTTTACTGATGTGGTTCACCTATTTCTCATGGAGTATTTTCAGGACATTAATGCTGCTGATTTACCTGCCCAACTACCACCTCCATGATGACTCCGTTGACGGTTTTGATGGCTAAGATAAATGTAACTCACTTCCGGACGAGATGTCAAATTCATTAACTATTTCTGAGGAGAATCATTGAAAGATTACAAACCGAACTCGGCCTTAGCTCGGCCTATCGCCAGCAATTGGATGGTCATCAATAGATCAACCAAAAGATATCTCTATTTAGCATCGTCTTTGCCAAAATGTCAGATTCATATTTTAGACCTTGTTATGCTTCCAAAGTGTTAAAGAGCAAATCTATCGCAAATATGATAACTGATTTTTCTGAATTGCCGCAGGAAATTTGGTGTCAATTTAAATAACTTCCTTTTCATTCATATCATGGAAAAATATTAACTGAGGACTCCTAATCTAGAGCTACTTTTGGAGTCCACTGATATGCGGACACATGGCTTCAAGGAATCGCTCGCGCTTTCTTGTGATCCGGCCCGATGACACAGGAGAATATACCTCTTGTGTTATTCCGCGTTATTCAGGTGTTATTGTGGTGTCTTCCTGTGTTATTCCGAGTTATTCAGATGTTATTGTGGTGATATTGATGCGTTATTGTGTTATTATAACACCGAGAATATTCCCAGAACACTAACACATGAATACTACCACAATAAAACCTGAATAATACAAAATAACATGTGAGAAATATTCCCCTGCACTAAAACAATTTTTATTTTATTTTTTTGTCACCTCCACTTGTCCGCATATTTGTGGACTCCGAACGTAGCTCTATGTTAGGAGTCTTGAAGTAATATTTTTCCTCATATCATAGACCATCTTTCATAGGAAGAATATTTTCCTGCTTTGATTTAATTTACATAAATGCCACGCTAAATTTTCTATTTACAAATCGACCACCCCAACTCATTTTATTTTTATTTTTACATTTTGTTGAGTTCTCAATGATTTGATTGTGACATGTAAATACATCCGTCGGTAGTTTGGAAAAAAAAATTCAAATGGATGGTTAATTTGTAAATATTAATATTTCGGATGATCTGTATGTAATTATCCCTTTTTACCGTGGTTTTTCCTCTGAGGTGGGACAAAACAGATTACACTGTTCCCTAACTTTACTTTTGTTTGGCTTTTCATGCTAAGCTCCTTAAGCTAAGAATGATTAAAGTAGGAATCTTAGGGCACTTCAAATGCCTAAATATTGAATTAGCTTCTCAAAGGCTATTGGCATCCCTCATTTTGCCCAAAATCAATTTCAAATTTGATTGAAATTCATTCCAAATTTATTATTTCTATTTTTGGTTTCAGTTAATTTCAAGAGCAGGGAATGAAATTTAGACGTTTTGTTTTGAGCTCTTGAAGAAAGTTGGAAATTTTCATTATAAAATATATGTTTGAAAAATTAAACTATAAATTTTTAATAGCTAGTTTTATTGTAATTTATAATTAATATTTATTAATTTTTAGGTGTGTTATTATATTAATTTTATTACATAATTCTTCGTTTAATATTTTATAATTGAACAACAAGTAGAATTGCATTAGAAATTGAATCGTGAACTGCCGAAGTAATTAATTTTTATTTTCTTTAAAAGTGAAAGATAAGGCCGAACGGATCACAATTCCCTTGGAGGCTTTTAAGAGCTTCTCTGAACATCATTAAGAGTCAGTGTGATGAATCTTAGCCATCTCCCAAGTCCTCTTTGTCCAAGGGTGGCTACCTATCAGATTATGGTGATTCACCATCTGTTTGATAGTCTAGCTGTGTCTTATCAATAGGAGCTCCATGTCAAGGATTGATGGCATGTGGCCAGACTTAACAAACTGATCAACACAATTTAGCTGATCGAGTCAACCTTGCTGACCCTTTTCCAATAAGAGCCATTGCGAATCGATAGCATCAATCATAGCCGACTGGTAGTCTTACTGGACCAGGCTGACCAACATGCCTTTCTAGCTTGGCCGGCCGTCAGCGCCTACTAAGGGCTCACCAGTCTAGCAAGCCTAGCCTTATACCAACAATGCTTCAGACACACATATGTAAAATATCTATGATATCCTATACAGTCCTCAATAAAGCGGAGACATAAATATAACTTCACATATTGTACACCTTTTCTCTATAAATTGGGGGTTATCATATGAATAAACGTTTACACCTTTTCCAATTTATTGTTTATTGATCTGCATATCTCTATATATCTCTCTCTCCTGTCTTACACTCTATTCTTTATGTGTGATTCATGGACTCATCATGATCCAATATCCTAAAATGTGCGGTAAGTATGGATCATGCCAACAACAAGAAGAGAAGT